ATAATATATATAATAGAAGATACACACTACATACACATAATTTTGATTTCAAGATTACAGTAATCAAGGCACTATTATTGATGAGAGAGACATACCTACAGAATACAAATAGACCAGAAAATATAATCAATAGATTTTTTGACAATGATAATTAAGTGGAGAAATGATGACCTTTAAAAAAATTGTGCTGGACTATTTACAATAGGTAAAACCTGGAAACAACCCAAATGCCCAAAAATAGATGACTGGATCAAGAAGATGTGGCATATATACACAATGGAACATTATTCAGCAATCAAAAAAGATAAACTCATGCCATTCACAGCAATGGATGGAGCTGGAAGGGATTATGCTCAGTGAAATAAACCAGAAGGAAAAAGAAAAATATCGGATGGTTTCACTTATAACAGGAATATAGGGGAACCAAATAAGACATCAGTAACAAAACACAACAAAGCAAAAACAGACAATTATAAACCAGAGACATCCTGCAGGGGAGGAGGAGGGAGAGGGATCAGAGGGAGGGAGGGAGGAGCACAGGGGACTGAGGTGATGGTGCACGGGTGCATTGGGTTAGGAAACACTATGGGGACTACACCTGAGGGGGTGGGGGGAAAAACAGTGCTGGAATAATTCATCTTGCATCTTGGAATAATTCATTATATGCAGGAATATTCATCTTGAACCTTTAGGTAAAACCATATTCAAAAATTAAACTCAAAATGAGTTACTGGCCTAAATGTAAAAGCCAAAACTAAGAAGTCTAAAAGAAAGAGTAGAAAATCTTTGGAATCTTCATTCTGGCAAAGATTTATTAGGACACTGAAAGGCTAGAATGTAAAACATTTGATAAATTCGATTTGAAAACTTTTGCTCTTTAAAAAATAAAATGAAAAGCCACAGAGTAGGAAAATATATTTGCAGAACATATTTAATAAAGAACTTGTATCCAGAATATATAAAGAACTCTTACAATTCAATATGATTAACAAGCCAATTTGAAAAATGGATAACCAACTTAAACAGGTCTTTATCAAAGAAGATAAATGAATGCCAAATAAACACATGAAAAGGTGTGCCTTTGTAATTAAATATTGTGCAAGTAAAACCACAATGAGACACCACTAACAGCTTTATAATAGTGACTAATATTAAAAAAAGAAAAATACCTGATAGTACCAAATGCCAGCAAAGATATCAGCTTATCAGTTGTTTTGTGACTGTATATGTTGGTCAAAATTCATCAAACTATATACTTAAGAGGTTGAATTTAACTCTTACATAAATTACACCATAATAAACCCAAGTCTTAAAACATGATGCAAAACAGGAATTCATAGATTGCTGGCAGAAATGCAAAATATCATAGCTATTTTAGAAAATAGTTTGGCATTTTCTAATATAGTTAGACATACACTTACCATATAGCTCAGGATTTCTGAGCAATATGGTAATTCTTAGCAATTTATGCCAAAGAGAAATGAACTTATATATGGACAAAGACCTGTTCTGGAATGCTTATGGTCATAATCATCTAACACTCTATCTCTAACGAGTTGATAGGAATACACAAATTATAGAATAAAAGACTACTTCTAAGCTATAATAAACCACCGATACATGCAACAATATGGACAAGTATCAGAAACACTATGCTAAGTGAAAGAAGTCTGATGTAAATGATTATATATTGAATGATTCCATTTTTATAACATTCTGGACAATGAAAAACTATAGGGACAGAAATCAGATCGGCAGTAAGGAAGCAGAGTAGTACTGATTACAAGTATTGATTACAATAGGGCAGGTGGGAACATTCTGGAGTTATGGAAACATTCTACAGACTGATTCTACTGGTTGTTACATGACTATGTTTGTCAAAACTCATTGGACTATGTATCTAAGAGATTGAATTTAACCATATGTCAATCACACCTCAATAAACCTGAGTCTGAAAACAGGATGCAAGCAGAATATAACCTACATATTTTACTGAGAATAATGGCAATACATAGAGACTCTTCATTGCCAAAGGAAGCTGTGGGTACTGCAGGTAAGTATAAAAATATCTGCTAAAGCATATAAAGATTATATTAGAAATTCAGTTTGTTTTATTTAATTAATTTTTATTAACTTCTATTTCTGAATTTTCTTTAAAATGTTGGCGGTGTTACCTAAGACACTTTTTCTGAATTTTCTTTAAAATGATGGGGGTGTTACCTCAGATACTTGACTTTTGATGGTTATATAACTTTCTTTTCCTTTTTTTTTAAGATTTATTTATTTATTTATACAAGCACTGGGTACAGTCAGAAGCATGGGAGGGTGAGAGAATTCACCAGAGCCAGAGCCGGGAACAGAACAGACAGACTGATGAAATACACTGCTGAGGGGAGCGGCAGGCAGCAGGAGAGGTCTGCGCACCCGGGGATCAAACCAGCGCTACAGAGGCTGCAGGCAGCTTCACAGCCCAGTGCTCAGCTGCTGCCCCACCAGGGGAGGTCCGGTTATATAACTTTCTACTAATTCATACTTTTTTCACCAGCTATCTCTTTCACTGAAAGTTAACACAAGACAAATGTCAAGAATTTAAATGCCATAAGGGTCCTATGCCTTGTGAAATTTATCCTTATTGGCAGAGCCTTTAACTACACTGTTCTCATATGTCACTCAACCACATAAAGGAAAGGAAGGAGTGAAAGCTAAAGTACTATCATCCAGAGACACAGATCCAGGAAAGAGTAAGTCACCAGTGAGAATGCAGAAGCCAAAGAACATATAACACTGTGCGGTTATAGAATAAACAAACGATCCACTTAGAACACTCCCAAGGACTCTGAGGATACCATAAACATTGATAAAGCAAAGCATCTTTTCATAATTAATGGATAATCAAAGATTTCAATAATACCTAAGGCACAGGCACAAATAACTGAAACAAATTTATAGTCTTACTGTTAATTTCACTGCTTGAATGTCAGTTTACATAAAGAGGAAGAACATTAGAAGACAGCTTTCTAACAATGAGCATCAAAGGAAAAAGCAAAACCAGATAATGAATCATTGCTGGGGTCAAAGGGACATGGTAATCTCTGGTCAAGTGTGTGGTAACACAACAGAGAGGGAGAAAAGGAAAAAAATGTGAACCAGTAACCTCAAGGTCACAAAGGGATAAACCTGCCATGTTTGGAGATTTTGTATTTCCCCTGGTAATGCTGAAACCTGGACAGTTATTTGTGCCAATCAATGAAAACGGCTAGGGAATCAAGAGTCAGGATGACGGAATGGAAAACATTTAAAAAAATAAAAGTTGCTGAGGACCTCACAACTCCATCAGCTCACCACAGAGCAAACAAAGCTTTACTCTACTCTGCATGTTAAAGGAGAAAAAGTAAACTATTGTTTTTTCCTGGGATTAACAAGAAAAGAAAAAAAAAAAACTGTCTATGGCATTTGCCTTGGGGAATTTAAAGAAAAAAGAACACCCTTCTGATCCTCACCCCATCCCCACCATTCTCTGAGACACCCATAGGACAAGATTCAGGTTGGACAAAAAGTATTCCTGTCACCATTTTGAATAAAAGTACTTATCAGTTCTTTAGTGAGGCAATATGAAAGACTATTAAAGATAAAATGCCTAAACTTGTTTCTGAGACAAACATGACTTCAAAGTTGTTAAGTGCACAAATAAGACAGATTTCTGTTTGGGACCTAATTCTGACAGGAGAGAACACCTTACTGACAGGAGGGACAACAGGCCCTACTGGATATCAAAATCTGTTACAAGGTGAAAATAACATTTTAAAGTTAATTAGCAATGTAAGTGTGAAGCAAGAAGTAGATATAAACATAAGAGGAAAAGCAGCATAAATTATCTTGAACTCATGATTGATTGGTACACCTGGATACAGATGAGAAATCAGTGGACTGAGTCATCTAGAAAATGGAAAAGACATACAAAGAGATGAATAAATACCAGGCACTAAAGAAACATACTGTAGTTGGGGAAAAGTAATTGAAATTTCAAGAATAGAGAAATGGCTCTATAATACCCCAGTATGTGGGCTCCAACTTACATATCAGGAATGAATGGGTGTGTATATGGAAGAAGAGTGGTGGGGGACATTTGGAAATAGTTTATCAGGCACATCTTTTTTGTTACTGGATATTTTGATACTTTGGGGCCTCTCAAGATTTATTCTAAAGTAATCTTTTACCTTTTTGTCATTTTTAAAAATTTATTTTATATATTTTTACATCATTTTCATTTTTGTATAATGTATGCATTTTCATCTTGGTTATAGTCTCCATACAATCCCCCCCCGCCCTTTATTTTGACCCTAATCCCTCCTCCCCTCCCCACCCCCGTAGTGTGTCTCTGGTTTATAGTTGCTTGTTGATTTTGATTTTTACTTTATTATAATTAGTCTTTTTCCTGGTCCCTTATTTAGGTTTTCTAAATTCCTGCTATGAGTGAGACCATCCGGTATTTTTCTTTTTCTTTCTGGCTTATTTCGCTGAGCATGATCCCTTCCAGCTCCATCCATGTTGCTGCAAATGGCATGAGTTTATCTTTTTTGATGTCGGTGATGTCTTATCTACCCAGGGCAGCCAGATGCAGAGATTAGGGTTTTCGTCTCCTGGACTCAGACAACAACACAATGACCTCATTAACAGAATGAGCATAGGAGTCAAGAGATTTGGAGTGGATGTCATGGTTACCTATTTATTTGCTAGGGCAATGTTCAGGCATTTCTTGAGTGAGGCAGTTGGCTGGGACTTACAGATCTTAAGTAGTCACACATCATTACACTCACTTGTGTAATTTCTTCCCGGAAGTACAGCATGTTTAATTCTCCCCTACACTAAAATCTGTGGTTTTTAATTTAAATGTTACATGTTTCATTGAAAATGTTATGGCTATTGAGCCAGAATAAAAAGAAATTATACTCTATATTCTCAACCTAGCACATTTTACCATGAAATGGGAAGAACCTTACCCAACGTCACGTGGATGGTGGAGGGTCTGGCCCTGTGACTGTGTTGTCAACTCTCACTCCAAATACTTGTCCAGCAGGGTCTTGCGGCTCAGTACTTTTGTAGTCACACTAACTTTCTGGGGCTTAACTGGAATGACAAGCAGAGTCCTCCAATCATAAACCTCTGATACTAAACTTAGTCTGTCCCAAAGAAGACAGGGAATCAAACCAATTAAGTGGAAATGGTGTAAAGAAACCTCCCTACCAAAACGTTAGCAGACATGTCATTCTGAAACATGGGACTGAGATGGAACTTCATCTGTGATGTAGATGCCATATATTTCCTTTTTTGTTCTTATTATTTGAAATGCTTTCTGTGACAGTTAAATTATTTAGTTCATGCTAAATCTGTCTCTCTCAAGAAAAGTGTGAGGTGGGGACTGGAGAGAAGGGAGATAACAATTGTCTGTGTCTTCTATACTCCAAATTCTATATAGCTATTTTTTTTAATGCTTTATGTTTGAATTTTCACATCAGTCCTTGTGTGAGGATTTTTCTCTGAGAACTGTACAATTTTTTCAATGGAACTGCTATCACACTGTACATGCTGTCTCATAGTGTGGTAATACAGAATTCAATGCGTGGCTTTGTTTGCTCACTTCATAAAAATAGTTGCCTGGAGAAAATTTGGGGGAAAAAAGGGGACACACCATCTTGTGGCCAATACCAGAACTGCACCGTTACTCCCAGATTCTTCTTATGGGAGAAGGGTGGGAACCACATCCTGCCAAGCCAGCAGTTTTCTCAGGCTTCTAGAATATACCATGCACAAATTTAAAGTTTTGTTATGCATCACACACAAAATGGAAGACCCATTTATTTATTTCCAATGGTTGGATCAAGAAAAATTGAAAGCTTATTGCAAACTGAAAAGGTTTATGAAAGAAAGAGAATTCTGGGAAAACAATTAATACTGTTTCCTGTATCTATTTCCATATTTTCATCACATATGTACATGAAGGCATAAAATTTCAAACCAGATTTTTACCACAATCAACCACATGGTTTGAATGTTTTCCACATTAGTATTTTCAATGTCATTTTTAAGTGAATCACTTCAAATTCAAACCCATTTGCAGTAATTTTAACTCAAACTTTTGTCTGATATTGTAAAATGATAAAATATATATTAAGAATTATTTTAGACAGACATGGTAAAGCCTGCCCTGGCTCTCCAACCATACAAATAATCCCATTAAGAGGTGTTCTTATATGTTTTGATTTTGTTATACATATATATCAACACATTCCTTTATCTTTAAATGATATAATAAGGTGCTAGCCAGTCTGCAATTTGCTTTTTTCCGTGATACTACTTCTCAGTCACATTTTCAAACCACTACATGCTTATACTTTCACTGGTCAGCTATGCAACATTCAATTGTATGGCTACAACACGCAACACGGTATTTTTAAAACTGTGAATAGAAACAAACCAAAGCCTGTCTCTGTCTGTTAACCTTATAAGACACAGAAAAATGGTTCTTGCTGACCACGGCCATACCTGTGGTCTGAAAGAATGAGTTGCAAGGAGGATACACACAGGGCTCTTGCCAACACAGCAGCTGGGCTATGCGCTTGATCGGGTCCAGGAAAATTTCCACTATCGGCAAAAGACAAGGGAGTTATAATATTTGCATGTCTGTGTGTGTCTATGAATGTTTATGTGTCTGGAACTAAATGGGTACGCCGTTTCAGCTTCATTTTGCTTTTATAATTATAAAAACGATCATGGACTAAAGCAATTCTAAAAATCCTGAAACTGGTTAAAAATATATTTTGAAACCCTCCGTAATCGGAACATTCCGGAGCTGCTGACTGTAAAGAAAATGCAGAGGTTTTTTTTTTTTACAAATGTTATCACTCAACGGCATAGACGAATCCCTTCCACGTTCACTTACCTTTCTCTTATTTGTGTCAATCATTTTTTATGTTTACATTCTTCTAGGAGTTGTTTTTCTGAGAATAACATTTAAAACAAAATAAAATCTGTACGAAGACAGAAACACGGAATGCCATGTAAAAAATTAACATGAACGGCATGCCTCACCGAAGTCTTAATTTAGAAGCTGTAATCTGATCACCCATTCCCACACTGTGCACTTCAAAAAATATCGGGAGAAACTCAATTTTCAGGGCATCGATTCCGTCACAACAGCAGCAATTATTCCCCAAACCATACTCCAATCCCACCTCTCCCAGGCAACAATCTCTATTTTTTTCACTGTTACACCAAAGCCCGAAGAAATTCTCAGAAAATAACTAGCTTTAAGACAGCCATTACCTTGAAGCTTCTTGTCAGCTGCAGCCTCGTGAAACGCAGCCCCTCCCCCAAGACTGGCCAGGCTCAGCTCTCCCGAGCTTCTAGAGGATGCTCCGCCCCTCCTGCGATGGGGAGAGCGGGGGGCCTTTCCCTCAATTAGAGGGAGGAGAATCACCAAGTTAAACAGAAATTCGCTTAAAGGGGAAAAACATTCATTTTTAAAGGGCTTGAAAGCGAAATGGCAACACGTGGCTCTTTAATTTCCATTCATACCGCAGGGCTAGGGGAGAGCCTTAAAAAAAAGTAGCAAATCCCTTTACCATACAGTGACCATCCAGTTAAAAATAGCTCTGCTGTATTTCGTGACTTTCATGGCACTTTTTTCGTACAAAATATTTCAAGACACAGCTGGCCAAGGTCCATTTGAAAAAGATCCAATAGGTCCTTGTTTGTGATTGCAGTGAATTGATACTGCGATTGTTTTGTGGAGAATTAAATCTCTACAATTTTAACTTCTCTTACCTGGAGACCTCACAGGTCTCTCTTTTTATTTCCGTGTTGTCATTCAGTCTTCAGAAAATTTCACTATGTTTTCAAGTAATTTCTGAACAAAAAGCATCAACCAATAATCCTTAAAGAAAGGTGGTACGTATCTGAATTTACCAAAATGAAAAAAAACAAACTATGAAATAAAAACCAAAATAAACCAAAGTTGAAAAAAGAGCACTAAACTGGACAAATTGTTTTCGATTAAAAAAATCAAATCTAAAATAGCTCTTACAAATTGAAAGAGATAAACATTATAGAAAGCAAAAAAAAAAAAAAAAGGGTAAAGGACATAAATAGATAATTCAAGATGTTCTGAGGAAATCATTCTCAGCTTCCTTATTTTCCCTACAAGCAATGTATTGGAATTGCAGGTATTGCTCTATTCGTCTTTCAGAGTGTCCAGCCTCTGGGCTGTTTGGTAGATCTGTTTAAAATTGGTTGTTTAGAAAGCTAATTTGATTCTCTGGATAATCACTGCCCTGCAACTTACCTTCCCCTTATACAAAAGCTGGTATTTAGGCTTCCATCTGCAACTTCATTTGTTTTTATTCAATTTGTTTAGTGGTAAAAGGGAGGGCCTATTCATTGGGGCACTTCAAAACCGAAGATACAAAATAAACATTAAAACTGAATACATAAAAGATATTCACCTTTCCTAATAGCAGAAGAGATATCAGCATAAATACCAATGAGATTTTGCTTTTCTATCTAGTTTAACTTATAAAGAAGCAAAGAAGTGATACAATCAACAGTTGGTGAGGGAACGAGGGAATGAATGGGCACTTTTCCTCAAGTGCAAGGTGACAAGTTAAAAGGTTAAGAGAAAATCAAAAGCCAAAGTCTATTCATTTCCAAACTGGTGGATGTGTTCTCTCTGCATCAGTACTGACTGCCCCCTGGGATTGGAATCCTAGGAGTTTATTTGGTAGAACCAAGGATGATGGTGTTCACCTTCAGATTGTGAGAAGATTGGTGAGTGGACCCTGCCTAATCTCATGTCTCTGCTGGGGAATATACTGGTGAGCTACAACCATCTTTAGTAACTACCACACTTAACTGTGAACTTTGCATCTTTTACATTCATGCGCATGTTCACACCAATTTAAAGAATACTTTGCTGCGGGCCTCCCCGGTGGTGCAGCAGGTTGAACGCAGCTCTGTGAAGCTGTCTGGAGCCTCTGCAGCACGAGTTTAATTCTTACCCGGCCAGGGAGATACCCACATGGCGCAGCAGACCTCTCCTATCTTGCCCGCTGCTATCCACAGCAGTGTCTTTGGTCAGTCTGCCTGTTCTGTTCCCCACTGTGTCTCTGATGAATCCTCTCACACGCCCACACCTCTGGCCTGTACCCCAGTTCTTGTATGCATAAATCAATCTTTTTTAAAAAAGAATTCTTTGCTGCCCTATGCTTTTGCATTGACTGTGCCTGCATGATGGCATCCACTGGGTATAAATTAGTTATGACTTGTCTCTTTGTGTGGCAGGGGCCCGGCAGTACCTTCCCTTTCAGATATGGTTATTCCTGGACAGGGGCTGGTAATCAATTATGCAGAGAGGTGCCCATTTCATTGTACCCTCATTTACCTTTGGCAACTCCTTGAGCTGGTGCTTTCCTGATGATTGCTAATTAAATATAGGAAAATTGTATATCTACCCTCTTTAATGAACTTTGGTTTTGCTCACGAAATATTCAAGATATTAAGACTCCAATTTAGATTTTCCTTGCCTTTAACGTAGAGGTGTTATTTCCCAGGAAGTGGTAAAACCTACACACTGCCATGGATGATGATTTTGAGGGCTAGGTCTTTTAAGATAAGTTATGGTGCGTTTAAAAGCAAGAGAAAATTGTACAATGCAAGTTGGTAAAGCCTCACAACCCTATCCTTTATCACATTGAACAGGTAAACACAACTCCCATTTCCTGTCACCTCTGACTCGTCAGGTTGAAGAAACAGCTGCAGTATGACATAGCTCTTCCTGTAGTAACAAAACAAGCAAAGAAAACTGTCTGCACTGGGTACTTAAAAGAAAGAAGATGTGATGATACTTCAAAAGACAAATATAACAAGAGTCATGCTGGGTTAAAATTGTTCCTGTTATCAATCTGAATAAAAGCATCAGGGTTCTGGGTGAGAAGGTAAGGACATCTGTTGGCAAAACTCAGTGAGTGTCTAGCCTTTAAGAGTCTGTCATGGAAGCATTATGATAGAGTTATATTGTAAAATTTTCAAAAGGGGAGGCACAGTTATGGGTTTGAAACTTGTATTAGCTCGATGGAGAGAAATCTTTCCAATCTTGACAACTTTGCCAAGTTTTCATCTCCTGTACTAGATATCATAGTTAAAAAATATGCTTGGGGCCACTTGCATCTCTGATATTAACCTCGATTGTCTGTCCAAATATTAAACTATATTTAATAGAATGATAAAAATGTTTAGTATCTAAGGGTGTAGTTGAGACAGATAAGACAGGGATAATGGGTAAGGGAGGAAAAGAAGTCCCAATTTAACCACAGCAAAACTGAGTTTGCACATACTGCATTAGTGCATCTAGAATTACACAAGAAATAAGTCAATAGATGCCCAATATGCTGCACAAATATTTGGGTTGCTGGTCTGGTTTTAATTAGCTGGTTTTCTAGAAAAACAGTGTTTCTGAAGAGACCCTATTTTGTCACATTAGGGCTAGAGCAGTTTTCACCTGCAGTTGCCTCTTCTTATCTGGACACTTCATAAGGCAGTTTGAATAAAGTGTTTTTAATGAGTGACAACTGGATTAGATTAAAACATGGCAAAAAAGAAAAGGGATCGGGTAAGTTTACTTTGTTAAGCAGAAAGAATGTGGACAATGAGAACGGAGACAAGTGGCAAATCAGAAGGAGAAGTATCAGATAGAGGAGGCAAGCTGAGTATCAGATAGAGGAGGCAAGAGACGTGGACCTTATTTCTGGGGAGGGGAACAACAACAGAGAAGTATTATGATATTATGATAACACAAAGTCAACAGCCTATCTTTACTATTTCTGTTGTTCTGTAAGAAGGGAACGTGTGTAGCAAGGATTTGGTGGTGTCAAGGATGTTATTTGTGTTCCTGGATAATTTGACCCTTTTGGATCCCTCTGGTTTATCACGATGGAATGATGGGCTTTAACATTCCCTAAGCTGCTAATGCTGACCTATCTGTCCAAGGCAAGCCAAGGTCTCATGGACACAAACACTGGGCTTCGGGACCAACACCCTCATTAAGAGCATGACCTTAGGACTCAGAGATTTCTGACGGTTGTTGGGAAAGAATGAAGTGTTAAGCCACTACAAAATATTATTCAAGAGAGTATACAGAAGTCTATTTAAGAAAGGTTAGAGGACCTTAAACAGGTCTTAAGAAATCTTAAGAAACTGCTATCTGGTACATGATGATGACCACCTCACAAAGCTATCAAGGACTGGCGAGTGAGGTGGCTGGTCAGGACCTCCAGGAGACACCTGAAGAGCCTCTTATGGGCTATTTTTCCCTAGTGGTTTATTTAACAGGTGAGATTCTTTCTCAAAACTGGACACCATGGACTTTAAATTACAGAATTGGCTACAGAACGGGGAGCGAATGAATTTTATCTCAAATTCGCAACCTACCATGATTTTAATATGAAATGTGGCTTTAAATTTAAAATGCTATGGTTGCAGAGCAGGAAGCCAAATAAACTATACCACAAGTTCGCAACATGTTTTCAATGTAAAATGTTTCCCGGAAATGGGAAGAGACTTACCCAATGTCACGTGGATGTTGGAGGGTCTGGCCCTGCTACTTAACACTCACTCCAAATGTTTGTTCAGCAGGGTCGTCTCCCTGCTGGGTACTTTTGCGGTCACACTTTCTGGGGCTCAACTGGAATGATAAGCAGATTGCCCAGGTCATATGCAGCTCTAACATTAAACTTAGCCTGTCCAAAAGGAGACAGGGAATCAAACCAATTATGTAGAAATGGCGTAAAGTTTTCCTGCCAAAACCTTGGCAGACATGTCATTCTGAAACATGGGACTGAGGACTCTCATCTGTGATGTAGATACCATGTTAATTATCCTTTTTGTTCTTATTATTCGAAAAGTTCTCTATGACAGTATTGTATTTGGCTCATGCGGAAATCATTTCCCCCAGGAAAAGTGGGAGGTGGAGACAGGACAGAAAGGAAGTAATAAATACCTTGTGTCTTCTTTATGCCAAATCTAGTAGCTACTTTTTTTTTTATTGCTTTGTTTGAATTCTCACAGTAAGTCCTCATCTTTTTTTTTGTTATACACATATAACTTTTCAAGGGAATTTTAATCACATTCTACGTACTGTCTTGTAATCTGCTAATACAAAATACGTTTCATTGCTTTGTTTGCCTACTTCTCAAAAATGGTTGCGTGGAGAAAATTTAAGGAAAACTGACAGGTGCCATCTTGTGACCTGAACCAGAACTGCAGACACCCTGTTCCTTAGATGGGAAGGGGAAAAACTACAGCCATTCAGACAGTAGCAGCTCAGGCTTCTAGAATTTTTCATTCTCAGCTCAAGAGTTGAGGGTTTGTGTTATACAAAAATGGAATCCTAATTCCTTATGCTGTTATGTCTTTCAGGCATACTGTGTATCTTTATTTTTAGATTTTCAATAAAAGAAAGCAAATCTCCATTGAAATGAAATGGTTAAAATATAATTGTTCCATTCATTTCTAGATTTTTCCTATAGATAATTATAAATGTGAATGTTTTTTGAAACTGTATCTTTATCGCTCCCAAGAATATATTTTAAAATCTTTCCATGTCAACAAATATTTTTCTGCATCATCTTCTTTGAATTAGTTTTATGAGATTTTTCTTTTGTTCCCTCCACCAACTGACCCGGGCCCATACCCTATGTCCTCTCTCCCCATTTTCTCCACCCTCCCCCCATGCCCTCTGGTAACCATTATCTTCTTTTGCCAAGTTCAAATTTTTATTTCTGCTATTGTTTGCGTGTAATTGGTTTTTGGGCATTTATATTCCACAGATGGGTAAGACAAGATTTTTTTATATTTCTAAAATTTTCATAATGAAAATCATTCAAGTTTATAAAAAATTAAATGGAGAAATATAATACATAGGTGGAAATATTCTGCCTCTCCAATTACACTTACATCCTCAATTAATAAAGTTGCATGTATATACATTTCCAGATTTTCCTTGCATATATCATACTAATGTAACACAGGCCATTCTGCAATTTATTTTTAGAATATGATGTGGACATCTTTTCTTGCCACTGCACTTAGCCCATTACATTAACTAATTCTTTTTACAGCTACATAAATGTTCAACATTGTGGATGCACTATCTTACATGACTCTTCCACCATGTTTTAAACATTTTTTTGAATTCTTTCTCAAGAGTACTTAAAAATACAAATAAATATCTTCTCCTTAAATAAGTCTGTCCAAGAGTTGAAATATTTGAATTGCGTGAAAAATCACGAACAAGCAGGTAGCCAGCCTTCTCAGAGCCACAGAAAAATGCACCTTCAGCTAAAGAGAATGGAGTGGTGTGTGTGGGTGTCTACTTACATGTCTGTAACAAAAATGGATTGCTCCCTTTTCAGCTCCCTTATGCATTTCTACAAAAATCCAAAGATATATAAATCTAAAAAAAAAATACACACCATCCCAGGCTGTTCAGTACTTACATGTGAATCTTAGCTCTTTGATTTTTCCTTATATTAGAATACATTATTTGAAATTATATTTGTTCACCACATAACTAAATATCTTTCCATGGTTGTATGTTTACACATTTTGAGAAGATAGTTTCTAAATTCTCATCTCACTTATTTTTACACTGAAATAGGTCTACATGCTAAAAGAAATGTGGAGATGTGGACAATTTCCTTCTTTCTTCAGGCATGCTCTTTAACTAGATACATTGTTCTATTCTTCTAATGCCTATATTCTTTCGCTTATGATCTTTTAGGTATTTTTCATATTACAGTGCAAATAGGACTAGATCATTCTCTTGAGAGGTAGAGATGTACACAATGGTCGTCTTTTGCACATCAGTAAAAAAGCAATTCTTTTAGAGACCTTGAGTATCCCCTGAGAAATAACCAAACTTGTAATTCTCAGAAGTACTTAAATCTGCACAGTTACACATTACTTCACAGTATTACTATAGAAACACCACGAAACAATAAAATTTGTTAGAAACACAATCAAAGTAATATACAAAGTCAACACTCCCACCTAACAAGTTCATTATTCATTTGGGATTATCTCAATCCTTTTTTTTTTTCAAAATAAGGCAAATTAATTTGTCAACTTTGTTTCATAATTTATATCTATTACCACTGCTTTTTGATCAAAACGTAAAACGCCTATTCAAAAGTTAGTTTTTGCAACCTCATGAATTATTTTTTCCGCAGGTGTAATCTGATCACCACCTCCCCCACTTTTTAAACGTGGGCTTTTAAACCATCTGAAGGAACACAAAATCCAGACACTAATTCCACACAGAAACAACGACTCACAAACGACACTCCCGTTCCATTACTCCAAAGCAGCAGTCCCTTCTTTTCCCATCTTTACTCGAAAGTCTCCAGAAATCACCGAAAATAGCTAGCTTTTACGACAGCCATTACCTCCAAGCTTCTTCTCTTCAGCGGAAGCCTCCGAAGTCTGCATGTAACGCAGCTCCTCCCCTAAGACTGGCCAGGCACTGCTCTCTCCAGAGCTTCTAGAGGATGCTCCGCCCCCTCCTGTGATGGGGAGAGCAGGAGGTCCTTCCCTCATTTAGAGGGAGGAGAATCACCAAGTTAAACCAAAATAGTTAAACGAAAGAAATGCCCCTTTAAAAATACTTTAAAGTGTAGTGGTAATATATGTCTGTTCAATTTCCATCCAAACACTTAGGATGGATTATTTCCTGGGTGGTGGGGAGGTAGCAAATCTCTTTTTCATATAATAAAGCTGCTGTTAAAATACTCCTTACATGTTTTCCAGACCTTTCCTTGTGCTTTGCCTCTGCTAAATTTAAGACCTGTTAGTCTAGCTCCACTAAAATACATATATATAATATAACACGTATATTAATTATATATGCTAAATGTTTTGATTGGGCCTGTAGTGAATTAATGCTTTATTTTCGGTAGAATTAAATTCTTTGCAATTTGAATCTGAACGTGGGACACACTATGTCTCTCTTTTGACTCAGGTGTTCTAATACTTCTTTCAGGTCATTGCCCCCCCAAAAAAAAAATCCTCAACAAAATCTAACTATACTGAATTTGAAAAACCTATATATATCTATATATATCTATATATCAACAGTAAAATCGCAATAAGCCAAAAATAAGAATCAAACACAAACTTAGAAATCTTTTCAATGCCTATAATTGGATAGACAAAAATATCCCCAAACTAGTGTTGGTATTTCAATAAGTGAGAGATGAACAACAGAGCAGAAAAAGGGACCAAGGACACAAGCAGACAATTCACAGCCTTCTTCCGTAATTCTGGTATTTACCTCCTTGTGAAGAAAACCCAAGTAGTGCAACTTGAAGGCTGTCTCTCTTCTAGACTCGGCAGACAGGCCTCATTGCTCATTATGAGACTGAGAGAATCCCAGATTTAATCTCAGTCTCATAATGAGCAATAACAGGCAATTCACCTTCCCTCTTAATAAAGTTGACATTTGGATCCATTTGTTTTGATCACAATTTGTTCTTTAAATATATAACAATTGTTGCCTTTATGCATCTACTAGGTGACTTCAAAATATATGATAATGCAAAGAAGAAAATTTTGTTTAACAGAAGTGGGAGAGAATGTTGGTGAGTAGTTCTGGAGGTCCTTCCAACTCCCAACATATTTGGATATTTCCACATTTAAAGTCTATCTATTTTGGTCTTGTGGTGTCTGATATGATTTCTAATAACAGAGTCTCTTAAGGGCTCTGATAAAATTTCAAAAACCAAAGCTTCTTAATACTGCAACTCAATAAAATTGCAAAATTGTCCAATCAGGTCTGCTGTTTATCAAGGACATTATATTAAGAAACATTCATTGTTCATTGAAACAATAATATCAAGAAAAGAGAGCTTGATAAACTTTGTTCTTTAAAATCTTAAGACCTTGAGAAACTTTGCTTTTTAGAACTAAAAGTTCGACATGGAGGATTGTTCTTACAATGTTGTTATTACTTTAATTTTTTTGGCTTTAAAATGTAATTGGTTGAATATTGAAAATAAACATAGCAAAATAAATCCAATATACCAAATGTTGGTATATAAACATTTATAAAACGTTTATACACAGCTTTAGTATAAATTGGAACAAATATTGTGGGAAATGTTTGGCATTACCCCTTAAAGTTGAAGATTATAAATGTTAACAGACTATTTTGGGTTTTCAATAGCAGATTGGCATGTCTACGTTGGTAGCACAGACATGATCCCCAGAGAGAGCAATGTATATCGCTGAGCACATAGAAGACTCCCTAGTGAGGCACAGGAAATAAATATTAAGAATTCATTTTTTTACTTTGATTTTTTTATTAGCTTTTATATATAAATTATATAAAATTATATAAGTTACATTATAAAGTCAAAATGTCAATGACAATAATGACTATTTTTCTTTAATGCCAACTTAAATTTAATTTCTAAGTTCTCTGGTTGACTTTCTGACCATGAAAATAATGCGTGAATATTTTTGGGCACCTGGAAAATTCCTAAGAAAATCAGATTCCATAAACAGAGAATGAAGTTTATCAAGTTGCAAGGCAATAAATTTTACTATATCTTACATATAAAAATACTGACTTTTTATAAAGTTCAAATTGAAATGGTAAAATCAATATGGTTTATGTATCACCTTATTATATATTTAGAGGTTAATTATATTTCAAAGCTCAAATTTAAATCTTTCTCTAATATGTTCTTATTTATGTGTTTCTGGATCCCTGTGTTTAAATATATGCACACTAATTTATATAATAATTCTATATATTTATATAATAATAAATTAATTTTTATTATATATTATGAAAACAATATTTATGTGATAATAATTGTACACTAATTTAAATAAGAGCAGCTTAGGAATAATAGAAAGGAGAAGATTAAATAATTACAATGAAAAAGGATCTTACAATATATAATCTTCCCCTACAATGTGATCATATGTACTTACCAATTTTTTATATATTCTATGCAGATTGTACAAAGTTTTAATATTTCTTACCTGTGAGTGCATTTTCAATTAAAAAAAGTTGACCTATGTCATTTTATACTGCCTATAAGCTCATAGTTTCCTCATTTCAGGAAGGGCTATATTTTTCAGTTATTGTTGTTCTTCGTACTATGCTTATTGTAAATATTGTATTATCACTCCATTTAATGAGGTAGCTAAAGATAGATCTGTTCCTTGTTCCTAGGTACTTATGTTCTATAATTTTAATTGAGCAGCCAGTTTCCCGTACCATCCTTTTTTGTTACTTTCTTGTCATTTTCTTCCCTAACTGCAACCCTAAATTTAGAGTACTAAAACTGTCAAGATATCTTTTACACTCAAATCATTGTTGGCAGTTTCCAGATGGCTGGAAGGTACAAAAGGCTTATTTCCCTCACCTTATAAAAGGAGGGATGAAAAACAGGTTTAACTGTATTTAGTATGCTTTTTATTTTATAACTAGATCCACAATGTTAGAATAACTACTATTTTTTCCCAGATACACGTTATAGAAAGAAAGGGTCAAATCAAAATGAGAAAATTAACTCTTAGGTAAATTTGTATATAGCTAAAGTATTGCTACAGGTATGTTTCAGTAACTGTATCTTTTCAGAATAGATGCAAGCATGCCCTTATTCATGTGCATGGCTGACACAATATATTTTTACAAATTGATGTCTAAAATTTCATTCCTACGTTATTATGCTTTGCTTATTAGTGATGATTGTGGCCCACACTTTATGGGAAGGTTTTAAAAGCCCTAGAATTTTTCAATCACAACCCATAAATCCTTCCTACACTTACTTTTAACAAATATTGCCTAAATATCTAAGAAAAGTTGAAGATTTGTTTCATAAATATATGTATTATACCCAGTACAGGAATCCATGCTCCTTTCCTGACATATTCAGTCACAGTAACAAATTAACCCAAGCCTGTTAGTCTTTTATCTTCCTCCCCACATACATGAACTAAAGAAACCCTGTCACAGGCTATAGGTCAGTGACTGGGATAATGGAAAAAGAAGAAAGTTAGCCTTAGAGCCACAGTAGATTATGTAAAGGACAGACAATTCAAATTTTCCAGGACTGTATCAGTCCAGAAGCAGAAAACTTCAAGAAGTAGACTGCTAGTCTCAGACAAATAGAACAAAAGTTAGTCACATGAGATGAAAGAAGTACTGAGTAAAACGATGAGACAGATATAATTGTGATTGTTTGCATTGGGATGTTTTAGGCATTGCAATTGATATTTTCTATCCTGACAACTTATATTATGAAGTTTTTCTTCTCCTTTTTCTACTCCCATTTTACTTTAACTCCCAAAATCATAAGGTAACAGAAATATCTCAGTCTTTAAGTGGTATGAAATTTAAGTGATCCCAAAAACTATCCACGGAAAAAAAATTATGATATAGCTCATGTCATCACATTTCCAGATGCTACAGATCAAATTCCTCAGAATAGTATAGCATAGAGTATAGCCCATCAGAACTAAAACCACATAAAATTTCCTATATGTTTCTATTGTGCCCTTTTATAAACAAATGGGATTATATGAAACTGAAAAGCTCCTGTGCAGCAAAAGAAACAATCATTAAAAATGTATCCTACTGAATGGGAGAAGATATTTGCATATCATGTATCTGACAAGGGATTGATATAAAAAATATGAGGAACTAATAAAACTCAGCAACAACACAAACAAACCCCATTAAAATCAGGCAGAATATATGAATAGACACCTCTCCAAAAAAGACACAAAATCAACAGGCCATGAAAAAATGTTCAGCATCTCATATTATTAGGAAGACTCAAATCCAAACAAGTTAATCAATTCAAACCTGTGAGAATGGCTTATTCAAGAGACAAGAATTAAGTGTCAGAGAGGATGTGGAGAGAAGGGAACCCTTGAGCAGTGTTCATGGGAATGAAAATTGGCTCAGTCATTATGGAAAGCAGTATGGAGATGGCTCAAAAAATTTAAATTCCATATGATCCAGATATCCCTCTTTTTGGTATTTCCCTGGGGAATGTATTATGACATTTTGATATGAAAACAAACCACAAATGTGACTTTTCAGGGGAATAAAAAACTTAAAGATGTAGGCGCTAGATATTGTTGACAAACTGAGCTAAACAAAATTAAATGAGTTTATTTAAGAATCCAAACTGAGGACTCCAGGCTGGGTACAGCCTCCAAATCATTCTGTCCAAATTTTGAGCCTCGCAATGAGAATTGTATGAATCTGCAAAGATAGCATTTTGCATTTTCAAGGATTTTACAGAGAAATTCCGGGGAGGAGTCCGGTTAGTGTATCTATTTGATGTTGTTTACACATGGAGGAAAGCAAGTAGGGCTGTTAAAATTTACCCTATCTGTTTACTGTGTTATCTTCTGAGAA